TGGGCGGGCGTGCGCCCGCTGGGTTTGCAGGTGCGTCTCACGCTGCCTTTCCCGAGCCCAGCCGAGCCAAACATAGTGCTGGCGGCCGTGGGAGCCCCTCCGAGGTGGGCCCCGCACGCCCCGCCCATTGTCTGCCTTCCGCGGATCTTCCCGGCAGGTGCTCGTGGCGCGGAGGTCGGTAGCTGCCATCGCGGCGTTGAGGGGGCCCCGTGGACGCCGGGGCGCGCCGTGGGAGATGAAGCTCTTCAAGCCGTGGTGGACGGCGCGCGGCGGCCTCCTGCACCTCACGCTCCTTCTGAGCTTGGCCGGGCTCCGCGTGGACCTGGACCTCTACCTGCTGCCGCCGCCCGCCTCCCTGTTTCGGGATGAGCTGCTTGCCCGCGGCGCCTACGCGCTCAGCCCCTTCGCGCCCTCCCGAGGCGTTCTGCCCCCCAAGAGTCGGGAGCTGGACCCCGCCGCACCCCTCGAGGGCCAGCTGCTCCGTGAGGTGCGCTCACTCGGGGTCCCCTTCATCCCCCGGACCCGAGTGGACGCGTGGCTGGTGCACAGCGTGGCGACCGGGGACGCAGACGGCGCCCATGGGCTGCTTGGCGCCGCCGCGTCCTCCGCTGTAGGAGAAGGCGGCAGCCAGGTCGCAGCCGGGGGCGACGGGGACCCCCGAGCAGCCCGCGACAGCCCGCTGGCCGGCGCCGAAGAGAAAGGGGCAGCGGAACCGACGACGCAGGTGCGGGACGCAGGGGGACGCGCGAGCCAGGTAACCCCAGAGGACTGAGCCCTGCGCATCCGCGGCGGTAGGGCTGGGGGAGCTGGACCCGAGCCCTTGAGGGTTGCGGCGGCGCTGGGCACAGGCACACCCGCTTTCCTTGCTCCTTCAACCTGGGCAATTGTAGGGAACCTGTTCCCGCAAGGCCGTTAGTGCTGGATTTGTTAGTTTTGGTTTTTGAGAAAGTGGGTGAAACCCATTTGCGTGTAGAGAACACCTTCGCTGTGTTTGATGGCTATTGGGGGTAGTTCGGAGCTGGGGAAGTGATGTCTTTCAGTTCCTCGCCTGCTGTAAGATGCCTTTATGTTGGAACCTGTGCCTGACCAGAGGATCTGGAGGCCTTGTCTGAGAAGATGCACATCTCTCTTAAGAACCCCACACCCAGCCTAACGCAGGGTCTTCGCCCTGAATTTAAACCAACTGTAGCCTGTTTGTAGTTTGTGTTGTGTAGCTGGTGGTCAGTTCAGTACTGATTGATACCCTCTGTGATCTAACCATCCACCCGTGCCTAAAATTCTTCCTTGTGGACTTGGGTAACCCCTCGTTAAGCATACAGAAAACAGGTACCTTAACACTAGACAAGTTATTTCCCTTTGATTTTCTTTGGTTTTACCGGTGCATCCCTTAGGCTTAACTTTTTTTAAAAAAAGAGTTCCCAAGATCTGTGGCCTGGAGTTCGCAAGCCCTCTGTATCTGAAGCTCTGGCTAGGCCCAAAGCTTAGTGTAAACTGGTGTGGACCAACAAGTGTTCGTAGGATGTTGTTTTTGTGAAGCACAGCCTTATGCAAAATGGGAATTAGGGCTAAACTGGTTTGTTTGCCGCTCATCCGCGAATCCCTGCTGGTGTAGGCAGTTCCCTCACGGGCTTCTCCACCCTCTCTTGGAAGAGTCCTGTGTGATGCTACTGGTGATTCACTGTTACGCTGATCTGCTCCCTTCCTCCTCCCCGGGATGGGAACCAATGGGGTGGGGATTAGTGGCGGTCTTTCGTGGGCCCCTGTTGGTTTAGAAAAAAACAGGAAGCCCCTCCTCTCTCCATTCCAGGGATCTGCACCCTAACGGTGGGGGCACTTTTTATTTTAAAAGGGAACCTGCTGCCCCTATACCTTTCCGGGTTCAGTAACCAGTAGGGTTGAAATTCCAGTGGTACTACCATAGCCCACCCACAGCCAAATGCCATCCAGCTTGTTAAGTGTACAAAACTCTGGAGGGAAGGGAGGCTGATCCCTCTGAGGATTTCCCTCCCACCATTACCAGGGTGACATCTACACAGACTGACAGGCTGGTCTTGGAGCCAGCTCTGGCAACCTGGGAACACAGAGGTCAAGAAACTGTTACAAAGTAACAGAATTGGCTGGTGGTGGTGGAATCTAAATCTAGGCATCAGGCTCCTAAGCCTACTCTTTTTCCCTCTGCGCTAGCCAGGTCCTCATAAGAAGGATCTGGAATCCCTGTTTCCTAGAAGACAGAATGAAGTCCTTGTGGTCATTGTTGCCATCTTGCCTCCTCCAGTCCTGCATTCTCCCATTCTCTTGGCAGTGCCTTCCCTGGCTGGGCTAGGGTGTGCACCTGCTGGACCATGGTAGCTGTGCCCTGCTTCTGTACAGTCTGGCAGTGGTTAGCTTTGAGCACCTTAGAGCTTTAAAGGCTAATTCTTGGTAGTAATGTCATTTACATGTCCACTTTGTACTTATGAAAAATAGAACCCAAGGTCAAGGGACTTGGCTAGGGCCGCACAGTTAATGCCAGAGGTGGAGGAAGAAACTGAGTCTCTCCTATCCCAGATTGGCATATTAATTAGGTATTGTAGGCTGGTGTCAGGCTCTCTTCACAAACATGCAAATAGGATGGTATGAGTCAGTCCCCCACTCAGCCCCGTCTCCTGGCCCCAAGACAACTGCTGTCTGGTGCTGGATTTATTTGTTTGTTTGTTGTTGTCTGGTTGATTGGTTTTGTGAGACCACATATCATATATTCCATGTTGGCCTTGAACTTGCTATGTCATCAAGGATGACCTTGAACTCCAGATCCTCCTGGCTTCTCTCCAGTGCTGAGATTATAGGCATGTGCCATCATGCTGGATTTGGATTGAGATTTTTGTTTTGTTTTTTAAAACAGGTTGTACATTCATAATGAAGACTATGGCTTTGAGAAAAATGGGCTAGTTTTTGCAATTACTGAGTTTGTCTCTTAACACTTGGTCCCACGGGTTATTTGAATCACTGCAAGCCCCACTGTCTTACTTCAATTGGGAGAGTGCAATTTACCTGGAGGGGTGTTATGCTGATTAAATGGAAAAATGCATGCCAAATGCCAACATGGACCTGGATTACAGTTGTTCTTTCCTTCCATTTAAAACCCTTGACTGGTGCCTATTCATGGTATCCTTGTGACTTGTCTCCATATCCAGATTGCTTGCTTATTAGGGGGAGGAAATATCAGAGCCAGGCTGCCTGGTTTGAATCTCAGTCCTTTCACTTACAGCCCTGGGTGACTTTACTCAACCTTCTAGAGCTTCATTTTCTTCTTCACCTCTACAATGTGAGGATTACAATTTCACTCCATGTGCCTGTCATGTCTTAAGTGTTTAGAGGCTACTGTTGACTTGCCTCGTGAGAATACAGATAGTTAACTAGATAATTGATCATTCCAGTGATTTGCATTATGTATTAGGAGGCTACTGTTGACTTGCCTGGTGAGAATACAGATAGTTAACTAGATAATTGATCATTCCAGTGATTTGCATTCGAGTTCTAGGAGATTCTGGTTTTAGAGTATAATGATAATGAAAACAGATTCTGGGATTCCCCAGAGCAGACAAGCTCCTTTCACAGCCTTAGCCATTCGCTTCCAGCCGAGGAAGCAAGCCCAACTGAATGTGTGAACATATTTGAAGTTTGGTAACAGACTTAAGCCATCATCAGTGTTTCAGGAAGCTATTGCCATATGAAAATTGAGAGGGTCATCTGTGGTTTTCACTTCTGTGATAGCCACCTTCTGCTGGGTAAGAGGTCCCACTTGACTTACTGCTTATTAGGTGTTCCCTTCAGGTCACAGGCAGTTCATATTCAATTTGAAGCGTAAAGAGAAGAGGAAGAATAGACAAAGTAAAATTTGTTTCCATTTCAGTATCATAGATACTCCCTAATTTTATTAACTCGGTTGTAATACAGACACGGTCTCCATGGCAGTGTGATGTTTCACAGTAGCTTTTCACTTTGCTATGAGTGGATGTTGTAAAGATGGACTTGGGTTCCTCCAGTAAAAAGGAATGGCATACGTCACTGTATCAGAGGGCTAGGCCTGCTTCACAGACTAGGTGGAAATTTACTGGGAGGCAAGACTTTGAGGGTCAAGGTGTCAGCAGGTTGGTTGCTTCTGATGACTAGTGGGAGTATCTGTGTTTTGCTGGAGTCATTGGCATTCTTTGGCTTCTGCTGCCCAGGCTTTGCCTTTCTCTCCACACAACCCTTGTCCATGTGTATCTGCCTCACTAGGGCAATCATACAAGGGTCCACCCTTCTATCTTTTCCCCTAATTACATCTGCAATAGCCCAGTTTCCTAACACAGTTACATTATAAGGTCTCAGGGATTAGGACCATATAAGAATTTTAGAGGGTAAAGTTTAACCCTTAACAGTACCCATCCATCACCCTGCTGTCAACTAGCTTGCTCCTGCTCCAGCTTGAGTCAGCAGGTTTGTTTGGGGTCCTTTGCAGCAGGGCGTGGAATGCACTGCTGAAGAATCTGGGGCTTTCTGGCCTGATGTGCAAACTTGAACCTAATTCAAATCATCTCTTTTTTTTTGTAGGCTACAGACAAATCCTCTCTCCAGCAACTGTTCACTTCCTCCCTCCTTTCATATCCCTGCTTCTGGGCTCACACAGTGGGAAACCAATGTGCAGGGCCCAAGACTCAAGGCAGACTGGTCTAGAGATCTAGGTGTAAGCACTGAGTCAGCTAGGGTCAACTGAGTCAGTTGAACCCATGTTGTGTGATCTGCCACACACTTCCCCCCTCTCTGGGCCTTGAGTTCCATTCTCTGTAAAATGGGTTTTAACACAGTACCAGAGGAGTTTTTGGGCAGATTAAATGAGATGGTGCTAATCAAGCTAAGCAGGGTTGGCACACTGTAGACCTCTGTATTAGCTACTGTTAACCCCCCTGCTGGAACTCTGGAGAACCCCTTTATTCTGCTGCTAGTTATGCTTTGGGGAGCCTCCACAAGCTCCCCCATTACTTAACCAGTTCCATTTTTGTGATTTCAGGCTCCCCAGTTGGCTACCAATACCCACCCTAGCTATCTGAGCTAATTGCTTATGGCCTGTTTTCCATCCCAAACCTTCTTCCCCTCTCTTCCCCCAGACAACTTCAGGCTTACTTTTGCTCCCTTATCTTTGTCCAGAATGCCTGCCATTCTTGTCTTGCAGGTTCAGTTCTCAGACTCAATCTAACCTTCACCCATCTACAAAAAATCTCTTCACTCCTTGAGCCCCACAGCTCCTTGTAGCCTTTCTTTTGTGGGGCAGGGCACCCTCTGCCTTGAACTAAACTGCAACATCTGGAGTGTGGCAACTAGGGTTCAATTTCAATCAGCCCTAGCCTGGGGGACAAGGCCAGAAACAGAGGTCAGTGGAGCCACCACAGGCACCCGATATTCATCACTTTGTAGGGGTTTGCAGCGCTCCCATGGGTCCCATGACTGTAATGGGTCTTGGGTCTTTCAAGGCTAGGGCCTCCAGTAGAAAGTAGGTCAGCTCTGAAATCCTGACCAGTACCAGCCACTCAAGTGGATGGGGGCACTGGAAAGCAGACTTTCAAGTTGTCATTATAATTACTCAGGTGTTGAAATTGGGGACTACCTAAAGTTATAGAGCAAGTTAGTGACCTTGCCCAGAATAGAACTGGTTACTGTTCTTCAGCACTGAGTAAGCCACACCTCCCTCCCACTGAAAACTTCAAAAAGGAAAATAAGCTTCTCCCATTCAGTGCAGCCTTGTGTGGGAATAGCTCATTCTCAGACATAGCTGTGTAGGATTTGTGAAAATTCAGACATCTCTGGGCAGCCAAGGCTGTCTGAGGCTGACGCATGTATGCTCAGGCTCCTTTGGTCATGATGTTGCAGGTGATGGCTGACCACACTGTGGTCATGCATTGGGAGGTCATATGTGTAATGTCTTGAAATCTATGGTGGGGCATTTTTCCAGCTACTTAAAATGTGAATTCCAGGCTGGAGAGATTGGCTCAGTGATTAAGAACACTGGCTGTTCTGAAAGAAGACACAGGTTCCAATCCTAGCACCCACATGGCAACTAACAACTGTCTGTAACTCCAGTTCCAGGGGATCCAACAGCCTTTTCCGTCCTCCTCTGGCATTGCACGATGTGCAGGCAATACATGCATACATATAAAATATAAAAATAAAATAAAATAAAATGTGAATTCCAGGAGAGGTGGCTCAGCAGTTAAGAGCACTGGCTGCCTTGCAGAGGACCTAGATTAGGTCCCACATGACAGCTAACAACCATTCGTAACTCCAGATCCAGGGGATATGACACCCTCTTCTGGCCTCTGTGGGCATTGTACACATGGGTTCACTTACCTGCATTCAGGCAAAACACTCATACATAAAAAATACAGCAACTAAATGCAACGTGTGATCATGGACTGGAGAAAAGGTCGCTATGAAGCATGTTACTGGGGCACACTCTGAATACAGACAGATAGGTAAGATAATCATCTCCAGTGCTCTTTATTAGTGAGTTGCAATCCTTATCATGATAGGACTGTTTTGCTTGGTGTTTTTGAGACAGGGTCTCCCTGTAGCCCCAGCTGGCCTGGAGCTCAATATATAGACCAGGCTGGCCCTGAACTCACAGAGATCTGCATCCCAAGTGCTGGGATTAAAGACATGTGCCACCACGCCTAGCTCATGATAGGACTTTTAACCAAATGTTGGTCATACAGAATTCTTTAATGTGTATAAGTGTTTTGCCTGCACCTGTGTCATGCAGTGCCCATGGGGTCAGAGAGGGCATTAGATTCCCCTGAGACTGGAGTTGTTAGTCACTATGTGGTGCTGGGGACCAATCCTGGGTTCTCTAGAAGAATAGCCAGTGCTTTTAACCATTGAACCATCTCCCCAGCCCCTCATAACAGAATTTCTGTACTTGCCCTGAGTTTTCCAGAATGTCTTACATATATGTTACCAGTCCATCACTCTGTTAAAGATAACACACACACAGGGCCTTCCCAGACTCATGCCTACTGTGTGATGAGTTTCCTTATGGACTTGATCTAGCCTGTATATGCTATTTGTTTCTCCTAACTAGGAGGTATTGACCCACAGTAGGAGGCTAATGGCTAACTGGAATTGTCCATAGACAGGAAACACAGGGACTTGGGCACATGAGCAGGGTTGTAGTGAGCATGTCTCATGGAGAGACATAACATGGAGGCCAGGAACAAGGTCACCCAGTGTCTGGAGGGAAAGCAAGAGTGTCACAAAGTGAGGTATAGTCGGGCAGGTAGAGAAACCAGAAAACCCAAGTGGTCCACAAGGACATTGGTCTTCTGTCCTGGCTTTTGATTTCTCCCCTTTATCTAACATTTGTGGATTTTCTTTTTTTTTTCTTTTTTTTCTTTTTCTGAGACAGGGTCTCTCTGTAGCCCCAGTTGTCCTGGAACTCACAGAGATCCGCCTGCCTCTGCCTCCCAAGTGCTGGGATTAAAGGCGTGGGCCACCACACCTGGCTGGGTCTTAACATTTAAAAAAATTCTGTGTGATAGTGGGGTGATGGGACCTTTTGTTTTGTCCTCTCAGTCAGAAAAACATCCTGGTGTGGTAGCACACACCTTTAATCCCAGCATTTGGGAGGTACGGCGAGTCCTTGTCTTTAAAAAAAGCCTCCACATGGTAGTCTTTTTAATAAGATGATGCTATACAGCAGTCCCTTCTGCATGAAATAACTACCATCACCATGATTTGGGCTGAGCTTGATCACTAAACATAGTCACAATCGGGCTTGTTGACAGTTGTACTTATTCATTAAGGGAGTGCCAAGCAGGGTCACTGGGCCCTCACCTGAGTATTCTTCAGCCATTCTTCCCAGCCAACTAGTCCAACCTTGGAAGAAAAAGGAAAAATGAGGAAGAACCCAGTAGAGGGATGCTTTTGGAAGCCCTTGTCAAGAAACTCCAATGGACTCCCATATGAACATTTGAAAATCGGCCTGTTCTTTTTTCTCGTTCCCTGTCTAGAACTTAATTACTCATGTCTTTACTTCTCCTTCACATCTCCTATTCATGATTCAAGGACTTTCTTCTCCCCTTAGAGACAAGAGTTAGGCAATTTGGGAGTCTAGATAGACCCACTGAAGGGGTACTCCAATTGCCTCACCCTGCGTCCCTGTTCAGCATGGAAGAAGCCAGAGTGGTCTGCATCCCTATTCCCTATTGGCAATTTGGGTAACCCCTTCAGAGGATGGTGTGATAAGAATAGGAGGTAGGAACTGGCTAGGCAGTTAGGGTAAAAAAAGATGCCAAAGAAATGTAGCCAGTTTCTGGGCTAAAAGTCAAAATGTCCTTGGGCCTGTTAGCAACACACTCTGTTCCAAAGGCCAAAAATGTCAAAAGTATTTTGAAGCTTGTATCTAATCCTTAAAAGATTTTAGGGTTACCTCTTCAGAGGGGGGAATGTTGGAGGGGAGGGAGTGGGCATGGATTTGATCAAAACACCTTATATGTATGCATGTATGAAATTCTCAATAAAGTTTTTGTAATAAAAGTTTAAAAAAAAAAAAAAAAAAACGGCATGGTAGCACAGGCCTGCCTTCAGTCCCAGCACTGGGAGGCAGAGGCGGGCAATTGAGGCCAGCTGGGGCTACAGGGAGACCCCTGTCTCAAAAAAAAAAAAAAGTTTGAGCCAGGCGTGGTGGCACATGCTTTTAATCCCAGCACCCTGAGTCAAAGGCAGGCAGATCTCTGTGAGTTCAAGGGCAGCCGGGTCCACTGAACAATAAATACAAGCCATTTGAAAGATCTGTGTATTTGGGGAGATTAATAGTTTTCTACTTAGCACATTCTTGGGTACTTTTACAGGAGAATGAGATACTAAGAGAGAAGACTGAAGCTGTGAATCCCAGTTCCAAACAGGAGGAAAAAGAGGAAGGAGTGTCAGCCCACAAGCAATCACGACAGCAGAGTGGGGACAATGAAAACAAAATGGCAGATGCACCTGGCTGGGAGGCAGAGATCCTTGAATCTAGAAATGAGGTAAGCATGTCAGAATGTTCCAGCCTTGCCATTTTGCCTTTCATGTAGACTTTGTGTTGTTACACATTTGCATGTAAATATGCACTGCTTTTAGCAATTCTGACATATACATTTTTTTTTTTTTTTAAGTTATGGATGGGGCTGGAGAGATGGCTTGGCAATTAAGAGCACCAACTGCTCTTGCAAAAGACCTGGGTTCAATTCCCAGCACCCACATGGTCTTTAACTGTCCATAACTCCAGTTTCAGGGGAATCCAACACCCTCTTCTGACTCTGCACAGCACCAGTGCACTTACACACATGCAGGCAGTACACTACACACATAAAATAAAAATGAAAAAAATAAATGGGTATAGTAATTGTACTTTGTAGGAATTAGTCCATAGAATGACAGATACCCCTCTAGGAACTTGCTGGTAGGTTTTGTTGTGTTAACCAAGGCAAGGGATAAAAGACATGGCGCTATTCTAAACCCAGGAATCATTAAATACCTGAAGAGGCAGCCAGGCTGGCCAGGTCTGGGATAACAAGCAGGACCAGCCTTACAAACAGATCTTACTCAGTTTCCACTAAGGCTTGGGTCCATGTCTTCTGTCCACCAACAGGTCAGCCAAACCATTTTATAACCCTGGCCTCAACTAAGAGGCCAGGCTCAGGCTTCTAGAGTTCATCTTTCTGTACTTCTGGCTGAACCAGATTAACTCCAGAAACCATGAGGAATGGATGGATTCTTCCTGCAGTCAGTGCTTCCTCCTTGCCTCACAGGGGCCATGCTCTGGTTTTCACTTAGCCCTGCTGAGGTCCTGTCCACAAGCCTGGCACATAGGTGCTCCAGAATTGGGCCTGAAGGGTCACCATCATTTATACATGGCACTTTTACCTACAAAGCAGACTCTATCCTGGCACTTTGCCATGACCTGCTCAGCACATGTCCTCTCTGGGAGGCTGAGCCTTGAAAATCTTAACCTTTTGCATGGGAGGCAGGGTCCCCGTGCCCTGGCCCTTTTCAGACAGCCCATTATCACTATAAAACATTACATCAAGTGAAGTCAGAAAGAGCTTTGTTCTCTTCACCTTCCCATCACTCCTGCCCTCTTGTAGCCTGTTCTAACCTGCTCTAGAACTACTTTAATATGCCTGGTGAATAGGTCAGTGCTACAGCTTCTAGATATTCAGATTAAGAAATCTCTGGTTGGGTTGGGAATGTAGACCAGTGGTAGAGTACTTGCCTAGCATGGCTGAGGCCATAGGTTCAATCCTGAGCACTGGTCATTTTTAGTATAGCAATTATTAATAAAATCTTAGAAATATAATACAGCTTTTCCCTCCTGTCTTCTCACCTGCTGCACCCTTAGGCTGTCAAATGACCCCTCAAGTGGAAACAGATGTCTGAGGTTGCCTCTTTTTCCCGTTTCTCCTCCCTGCTGGGTAGGCTGCTTTCCCTGGGGCAGGGGGTCCTAAGAACTTAGAAAAGGTGTTGACTGGCTCCAACCAGCAGTTTCTATTTCTGGTGGGATACATGTAAAATTGTCAGCTAGCAGTTTCATCTCATAGGCATTTTCATTTGAGGTTCTTTGGGGACTCATGCCCCCATAGCTAGGAGTCCTTTGCCTGTCCTTCTCTCAGAAAGGACAAATGCATTTCTGTCCCCAAAACGGTCCTTTCAGGTTATTTCCAAATATTCAGTAGCAAGTTCTTTTCAAGTGTTCTTCTCAACCACTTCATGGCTGCCATATGTGGTTTCCACACATTCACTGCAGGAAACATGTAGTAAGTGGTCTCCATGGGGCTTCTTTTGCCCTCTTCAAGAGAGGGAGCTCACTCTTCACTCCCTGCTCTCTCTAGCGTCAAACCTCCATGCCAATCTATTGTTTCACTTTAAAATTGAGAAGCCAAGTTACAGGCCTATGACCCCAGTGGAGGCAGGATTGAAAGCCTCATGACTATGCTAGCCATGCAGCAACTTAACAAGATCCTGTCTCAAAATAGTCTACCATTTAATACACAATTGTATATTGCCTTGTGTCGCTGGTTACTATTTCTCCTGATCTGTACCGTTTCTTTGCTTTCTCATTGAATTTTCCCAGAAGTTTTGTTTTCCAATTACTTGTACTAACTATTCAGTTAGAGATAGTAGAACTCATTAAGTACTGAGATAAAGTAGGGTGTTTATAATGTAGGACAAGCATCAATTGGAATCAGACTTTCCAGAAAATCACTCAAGAAAACTGGTTTTCTGTCACTTAACTAGCCTAAACTGGTCTTGAACACCTGATCCTACTACCTCCACCTTCCATTTGCTGGGATTATATGGGCATATGCCCTGCTGTGCCTTATTGTACTCAGGCTCAGCTTTGTCCCTAGCCTGAGCATTCTATACTAGAAATTTGACCATTGTCACTCAGGCCTGGACTTAGACTGATAATGAATACATGGTATATGCTAAGTGGTATGAAGACATTCCCTTCTCACTTAAGAAAAATAAAGATTGGCCCTGAATCAAGGCCAACAGTTTGTTGAAACTGTTGGTTTCAAGCAGAAGAAAAATAAAGATTGATTGGCCCTGAATCAAGGCCAACAGTTTGTTGAAACTGTTGGTTTCAAGCAGGTGCCTAAAGAAATGTCTTTCTGTGGTCTGTTGGCCATTCGAGAAATTTGGAAATGTAATAGTCAATTCAATTAGAAATATGTAGCTGGGCCAAAAAAAAAAAAAAAAAAAAAAGGTTAAGGCCATGTGTGATATCACACACCTTTGATGCCTTTAATTCCAGCACTTGGGAGGCAGAGGCAGGCGGATCTCTGAGCTCAAGGCCAGCTGGGGCAACTACAGTGAGTTCCAGGCCAGCTGGGGCAACAGGGAGACACTGTCTCAAAAAGACAGAAAGGTTGAGATACTATGTGTGTCCTTCCTCTCCCACAAACCTATTTTCCTAATGGTTTCTGTCCAAACTGCAAAGAACTCTTGATCTAAAATGGAACTGTGTATAATTAAAAGTCTGACTTTATTTCCCAGCAACCTAAAATTAACTTAAAGTACACTTTGGACTGGAGTTACAGGCAATCATGAGCTGAGCCAAAGCAACCAAATCCAGGTCCTTTCTCTTGAGACAGGGTCTCTGATTCCCAGGCTGACCTAAACTTGCGATGTAGCCAAGGGATGACCTTGAGTTCTGATCATCCAGATTCCATTTCCTACATAAGCTACAGGCTTGCATCACCAAACCATTTATGCAGTGCTGGAGATTTCTAATCCAGAACTTCATGCATGCTAGGCAAGCACTCTACCTACCAATCTGCAATCTCTAGCCCCACAAGTCTTTGTGGGTCTTCCTATGTACCCTGGCATTGGCCTTAAACGTACGATCCTCCTGCCTCTATCTCCCAATTGCCGAGATTTAGACATGCACCACTATGCCTGGCTTTATGTAATAGGGACAATTTCATGAAACCAAGTATCTCAAAATTTTATCTATTTAGGTGTCATTGACAAACTATTCCATAAGATCTTATAATTCTTTTCAGTTAAAATCCTCAGAAGAGAAAGAACTATTACATGAAGCTCTTCTTTATTAGGACTAAAGAGAATCTGAAACAGAATTCAGTGGGAGCTGGAATGAATGACTCAGGAGTGCTGCTTAGGGACACTAAAGAGACTCAATCAGTCCTTTCAATCCACCCATCTCCGTGGGTTTTTTGAAGCAGTCTCCCCATAAGCTCCAGCTGACTTGAACCCACTATATCCTAGAACTCAAGAGATCCACCTGCCTCTGCCTGGGATTAAAGGCATGCACCACCTTGCTGACTTGCCTTTATTTGTATTTCCTATGGCTCTACCACCCAGCCTCAGCTACAGACAGGACTAGTGATTATCTCCTCAGGCCTCCACCTTCTGAGCTCAAGATGTAAACAAAAACTGACGGAAAACAAGCACATTTTAAATTTAGCATAATGGCACACACCTTTAGTCCCAGCACTTAAGCAGCAGGCATCTCTGAGATCAAGGCCTGTGCAGTCTACATGGGGCTACAAGCTACAGCTGGGGCCACAGGGGAGGAAAAACAAAACCAATCTTTTTGAGACAGGGTCTCCCTGTAGCCCCAACCTGCCCTGACACTATGTACACACCAGGCTGGCCTTGTAGAGATCTACCTGCCTCTGCCTCCAGAGTGCTGAGATTAAAGTGGGCGCCTTAGAATTTCTCTTTAAGTGGCAGCATTAAAAAATATATATTTTTATTTGTATGAGTGTATTGCCTGCATTATGAGTGCACCCGTGTTGTGTAATGCTGTGGAGGTCAGGATAGGACCTCGGAGTCCCCTGGAACTGGAGTTAAGGATGGGTTGTAGCCACCATGTGGGTGCTGGGAATTGAACCCGGATCCTCTGGAGCGCATAACATCTGTGAGCCACCTCTCCAGTGGCAGTATTTTTTATCAATCAAATTAGCAAGGAAGTCTGCTAGGCAATTTCTTGGTTAAAAGAGCTTTAAATCCTGGGGCTGGAGAAATGGCTCTGCAGTTAAGAGCACTGGCTGCTTTTGCAAAGGACCCAGGTTCAAGTCCCAGCACCCACAGGGCAGCTAACAACCATCTATAACCCCAGTTCTTCTGACCTCCAAAAGTGTGTAATTACCTCACTACACGTACAATATTTAACGTTCTACCTGCATATATGCCCACAATGTACTGGAGTAGCAGGTGGTTATCTGTGTGGGTGCTAGGAACCAAACCCGGGTTCTCTGCCAGAGCAGTCATTGCTTTTAAAGAGCAGTCATTGCTTTTAAACCTACGAGCCATCTCCCCAGGCCCTACCTATTTTAGTAGCAGGATGGTAGGATGAGAGCTGCATCTCACACAACTTAATGAAATCAGCTTCTAATTTCCTTATTATTCAAGACACCATCACACCCTCTACAGCAGTATACTGATTAACACATCTTCAAAGTTGACAAGTGATTAAAGTTGTGCTAGGTAACAGAACTCTTAAAAAGAGTGTTGCTATTCTTTTTAAGGGCATTTCATTGGAAAGTAGTCCACCTTCCTCAGGCCCTTATCAGTGAAGTCAATTCTTCAGCACAATAGCAGGGAAAGGAATTCTGGAGATACAAAGTTGAAAGAAAAGCCTTACAGTTAATAATCCTTGCTTGGACAGTAAGATTTAAATGTAGCTTACTTTTTATATGACCCATCCTAGCACTCAAGCTGTGGCAAAATTGCCACAAAATCCAAGCCAGCCTTAACTACATAGCCTCTTGAAAAAAGTCATTCTGTATTGTTTTTATATACAGAGCCATCTAAATTGGGCAGATACATCTTTCTCTCTGGAAGACTTCTTTCAGCTGCTTTCATCACAGCCTGAACATTCCCTGGAGGTAACAAGAACCTTGGAATTGTCCTAAGAACACACTGCATTGGCAAACTTATGTTAATCAAGAGAACCTTTCTCCTTCGATGGCTTATTAGTTTCACACTTCTGCAATATGTAGTGCATATTAGCACAGACACATACTTTTTAAGAATTTACAAATTATGTATACCATTCCTCTACCAGATTTAGTATCTTAAATTGGAAGTAACCATTAGCTTTACTTGGTTTTCCTAGTAGCAGTCTCTCACCGCAAACTGCTCATTAGCTTATACTTGACCCCTCTTCCATCTGGACTTTTAAACATCAATTGGTAGGATGAGAGCTCCATCTCACACATCAGCTTCTAATTACCTGATTATTCAAGACACCACCACCACACCCTCTACAGCAGTATAGTGAGTTGAAATCATATCACACACACCTTGAAAGTTGACAAAGGTGATTAAAGCTGTGCTAGGTAACAGAACTCTTTTTGAAATAGTGTTGCTATTCTTTTTTAGGGCATTTCACTGGAAGGTATTCCACCTTTCTCAGGCTGTATCAATGAAGAAGTCAATTCTTCAGCACATTATAGCACAAATTTTAGCCATGCTGTAAGTCATGATGTCAATCTTCACGAAGCCATGCTGTGTCCCAACACATTTGGAAGAGATCCAGTAGCAAGGACTTCATATACCCAAGAACCACCTCTGCAGCTGTATTCTCATACCAATCTTGAGCAAGCCCTTCCTGCAATTAATTTGACAGGATTTCTCACACCTGTCATCAATCAAATGAGGAATCAGACAAACCAAGACCTCATGTCTGACCTTGACACAAACATATTTGATGAAATAAACCCAATGTCATTGGCTATAGGTGGTTTCAGTTCACTGGAAGTTTTTCAACCTTTTGAAGAACCAGATTCTGAACTCTTGTTAAATTCAAGTCATGACAGCAACTCTATTACCAAGTCTAATTCTCACTCTATAAATTATAGAGACCTTCAGCCTTTTTCTTTTCACGATTTAGAAGGTGCTGTAGGTGGCTGCTACACAGAACCCCATAAACTTTGTCACATGGATCTGGGGTGTCAACATGTATTTCATAACCACACTTACCACTTACAGACCTGTGCACCAGAGCCCACAACTGAATCTCTTACCTGGCCTGGAAAGTCACAGAAAACCAATAGAGAAATCAACCCAGATAGAGACTTGAGCCGTGACGAACAGCGTGCTAAAGCTCTACATATTCCCTTTTCTGTGGATGAAATTGTTCGTATGCCTGTTGACAATTTCAACAGCATGTTAAGTAGGTACTACCTAACAGACTTACAAATCTCACTCATCCGTGATATCAGGCGTAGAGGGAAAAATAAAGTTGCTGCTCAGAACTGCCGGAAGCGCAAATTGGACCTAATTTTAAACCTGGAAGATGATATACGTAACTTGCAAGCAAAGAAGGAAGCCCTTAACAGAGAACGAGGTCAATGTAACAAAGCTATCGACATAATGAAACAGAAACTGCACCACCTTTATTATGATGTCTTTAGTAAGTTAAGAGATGACCAAGGTAGGCCAGTCAATCCAAACCAATATGCACTTCAATGTAGCCATGATGGAACAGTTTTGATTGTACCCAAAGACCTGGTCACATCAGGCCACAGAAAGGAAGCCCAAAAGGGTAAGAGGAAGGGGGAAAGAAAAAACTGAAGATTACCAATTACCTTTATCAAGAGACTATTCAAATTTGTGTTTCTAGCATGAATTTTACTTATATGTACTGCTACTTGAATCACATTAAGGCCATACACACAACACAAATGCTTTCTGTTCCAAGGTTTTGGACTAAAATTGTTAAAACGCCATCAAAATCTCATTGCTTCATAGCCACATTTTAGTAAGATGAAGACTTGAGGTTTATGGCTTAAAAGGAAAGCAGCCTTAACATTTTTGAAAGATACTTTTTAATATTTGTAAAATAGTGAAAATAAATTTTATATTTGAATTTGTATTTCATTTACAAAGTCCAAGTCAGCTTGCCTTACTAGCCCTAGGGTGGGGGAACCCTCAATTAACTGGTCAAACTAAAGTTTAAGCCAACATAAATATGCCCAATACAGGAAATGCCTCCATAGGTTAATTAGACATGGCCAAACTTTACACTGAAGTATTCCAGCTTTATAAAGAACGTTAACAGGTCAGGGTCATAGTCCTAAATCCAAATAGAATGCAAATACCTGCACACACATGACAATACTAAAACCAGCCTAGATTCTGACAATCTATATTTTGGAGCTAATAAATTTACTGTCAGACCAATGTAAAGAGTTAATACAGAATAAAATAGGACAAATTAAAAAAAAAAAACAGCAAAAAAGCTTGCACATTAAACCAGAGAAATCAGAAATAATGGTCTTTAAATGAAAATCTAATACATTTTCTGCACTTTATGATTGAGCTCAGACTGCCCACCCATTTTGGGGATTAATTTTTTTTAATGTACTATTTCTATGATGCCCAAGTTATCTAAAAATGGCATGAACAGATTACAATGTGGACTATCATAAGCCATACAAATATGAGGTTGTCTCTTGGGTTAGAAAATTAACATTAAGCCCAGCCATTTCTGTAAGACCTGGATTTCACCAGGAAATGTTTCCAGATGTTTTATGTAAGGTTCAGTGGTATGGGTTTCACAATGAACCTTACTAATTTGGTAGATTTGAAAGGTGTCTTTTAGAACACTCACTACACTACCAATTACAGTATGGACTTACTAGTCTGTTCAGAATCTTAACTCCTAATATTTCTGCAAACACTTGGAAAGCCAAACCCATATACATATATGGGTATGCCAAACCTTACATCCAAGATTGTTTCCCAATGTCTGAGAACCTTACTAAAAAACTGAGGTAGTTATCTTTAGATTGAGGCCAGCTCACATGAAGGTATTTGCCACCAAGTTGAGTCTGATGCTAAAGTCCATGTTGTGGAAAAACTGATCCCAACAATTTCAGTTTTTGATCCTACCTACCAACAAATTTATTTATAAAATGCTTCCCCAATGGTTCTCCCCATGCTTGTGCAGACCATTCCACATTATTTAACCAGCATGTGCTTTTTGCTTTAGTTCACTCACAGAATAGTAATACTTTCCCGCTTACGTTTAAGTTCTTCAACCTCAAACCTTGAGCTTGGATCAAGTACTGACTCACAGATACAGCTAAACACATCTCTAAACAGTTTCCCTCCCATAGGTTAATGTCTTCCTTCCTCCACAAACCTTTAGTTTTGTTTTCTTAGTCACAAAGTATTTGGTGTACATTAGTTATTAGAAGAGCTCACACTTGTTTGACATTAATCTGACTTACCTTTGAGTTACTTCACTATCAAAACCAAAAGAACTAGGTAAGACAGGTCACTTATTGTTCTGGCTTAACCTGTGTCTCAAGTTTAAACCACAAAACTTGATTTTGAGTTAGCACTGATGTTCTGTCATGAAATGTGACTTGGAACAGTCACCTAGCAAACCTGAAACACTATTTTGCAGAATTTCCAGGAACCACTCTAATTGGTTAAAGGCCATGGCTTCAAAAAGCCACCATCAATGAATGTTCAGCATATAGAAAACTAGCAATATCAAATGTTGAATATACAATGCATAATAATGAGCATTTTATTAGGGACAGCAAATAATGTATGTCCGCAATGCTTTTCTCATGTGTCTTATTCAAGAAAAACTAAATTATAGTTTTGGGGAAAGCTGACTTAAAATTTAAGGAGTTAAGAGATCTTGTAGACAACTGAATGTCAATAAAACAAGATTCACACTTATGTGTAAACATTACACAACGTTATTTGGATACAAAAGTATTTATTTTATAAAACTTGTACTCAAAATAGAGCTTTAATCTGTCTACTCACAAATCCTAATTTAAAACAATACATTATCCTTAGCTGATTTGATGTTACTTTTTTACAAACAGCATTTTGTAGTCTTATCAAGAACCTGAACTAAATGAAGTTTTTAGTTTATCAGAAAACATTTCCCTTTTATCTTAAAAAGTGCTTCTTAAACGAAGGCACCAACAAGAACTACTTTCAGATGGTACAGAATTTCTTATTTCTTGAAGACTCTGTGGTTGACCACTTCTTCATTAGTTACCTGCAGCAAGACACCTTCCTGCCAAAGGAAAAAAAAAGTATCTGAAGAAGTTTATCATGTTTGTCCAAAAGATCCTAAATAACTTCAGTGGTGGTGTTAGGGTTAAAGCAGGCTCACTGGTGTGAATAGCATAATCCCTGAGTATCACATTCCTGAAAAGGCAGTAAAGCCTGGAATCAAGAGGGTGGTCTTAAGAATTTCAGTAGCCAACCTTACCTAAAGCTGTTTTGGGTAAGAAACTGGGAAAAAATAACCACTTTTTAACCCAATTATTCATTACTGGACACACAAATTTCTAATGTAGTCAAAAGACACACTATTCTCAATAAGCTATTATCAAAACAGATCCAATCATTTACCCTACCTTCTGTCAGCCTCATCCTGACAAGCACGTAAAGCTAGAACCAAATACACAATGCCTTTAAATGCCTAGTTCAACTGAAAATGGTCGATCCAAGGTATGTGAATGAATACACAAGGGTGGAATGATGGGAAAATCTCATTTATTGAACTTGCAGCCTAACTTTTACCTACCATTTTACTACCAACACCACTGAAGGAAGCAAGAAAAGCTTTATTAATGATCACTTGGCTTGCCTCAGCTGTTGAAATGAAGCACTTTACAGTCTTTGTAGCAGCAGAATATACTTGTCCATGGTTCATATCAATGCTAAAATTCCAGCAGGGAAAAAAATGATATGTTAAGCACCTGAATCTTCATGGAAAAGGAGGGGATGAGAAAGAAGGAAAAAAGGGAAAACAACCAAAATAATTTAAGTATGTAAATGACAGATTGGAAAACAGGGTTTATAAAAATTATCTTCTTGAGTTTATTGTTAAACTCAATTTATAGCTATGTTAAACTACGTAAGAACCACTATACTGAAAAGACCATTGAAGAGTTTATTAGTTTATCTTTTAGGGAGGAAGATTAAGAAAGAAAAAGTAAATAAGATCTTACCTAAAGAAGTTTAACTGAAGCTTAGAACTATTTTGCTCTACACACCCTCAGCTTTCGTTGGCATCCTTATCAACTACTGTAGTTAAAGCTTTGTAGATACAGCACAGTTTTTTAAGACTGGCTGAGCTTAGCCGTCAAGAGTTCTCTTGTACTAGACCTGTGTCCCTGAAGAGTACCTCGCTGGGGTTATTTCCTTTCCTTGCATTGAAGAAGCAGCATCTAAAAGATCTAAAAAGGTGTTTCTCCTTGCAGAGATATCCCTTAAGTTAACTAGATAATTTAATCCTGATGAATTGCAGACAACACACTTACATCTGACCAGCATTTATCTTACACAAACATAATAACAGCTTTGCAATGGACCTTAATTATACTACCCACTCCTTAACTTATTTAAAATAAAAAGTCTATAATTACACAATTTCCTTTAGAATTATTTTATTAAATCATAAATGTACAACAGCTTCTTAACTCTACACACGCACTTAAATTTTTTAAAGGAAAAACGTTATGTCTTATTACACCATGATCCTGGCTAATAGCTTTTCAAAACTTTTGAGAAAAATCTTAAAAAAGGTTTCACATGTCACCTGAAACTTACAAATTTAACATTATCAAAGAAGGAATGCTTCTACACTCTTACAAAGACCACTAGAAAGAAACAACAATTAAAAAGCTAAGAAACTGTCTCAAAGGCATTTTTTTTTACAATCCTTCCTCCACAGTAAGGTAATGTTATTAAATAATCCAATCCATTCACAAAATGGCTCTCTGCATCTGCTCTGGTGTCTTCTGCCATATCACTGCATATTTATGCATGACTGAGATAAGAGTTTCCTTAACATTGTTATTTCGATAACCTGAAGCTGTTCTGTTACCTCTGGGCTCTCATCCTCTCCTATTTATACAGTGAAGCCTGTTTCAACAGAAGTAAAGAGTAAAAAAAAAATAGGTTATGAAATTATTCATCTAACCAGATTTTAAGGAAAGATTAACATGATCCTATAAAAAGCTTTTACTCCTGCAGCTAGATCTCCCAAGATAATAACTGAAAGTTAAAAAACTACTTACCCATGCTAAGTAGGAAGAAGCTCAGTATCGGCTCCTCCCACCATAACCCCCACTTCCTCCACTGCCTCCAGGACCATAGTTCCCTAGAATGTTAAGAAAACAAATTTTGTTTGATTATTCATGAACATATTAAGTTTCTTTTATAGATATACATTCTGTTTTAAAACAAATAGATCATAACCCTTTGGATTCCAATTAAGCTGGGACATAAACACCTCGAAGTTTGTGGGTATTCTGTTCAATTTTAAAAAATTAGTGATTTTATTATATTTTCAGAAGTCCATCATAAAGTCCCTGAAACAGTTTATCAAGCACAAGAGGCTTGTTAGGTTTGCCCAAAGCTTTTAATAAACTAAATGGTGCTTTCTCAAACAGGCTCTCATGTAGTGCCCAGCTGCGGTCTCACACTCAAGGTTGACTGATTCTCCTAATTCTAGGTCCCAACTGCCAGGATTATAGATGGTAGTTTGGAGTTACTTAAATTCAAAATCAAGAGCAGATCAAGCCAGGGGTATTGTAGAACATGTTTTTAATCCCAGCACTTGGTAGGTTTATGCAGGTGGATCTGGGTTTCAGGCAAGCCTTACCCTACACATAGTGAGTTACAGGCCAGCCAGTGATATGATTAAGATCCTGCCTCAAAATTGGAAGGAAATAAAAAATCTAATCCGGCAATTTTTGACTTTGAGACAAGGTCTCCCTGTAGCCCCAGCTGACCCAGAACTCCCTATGTAGACCAGGTTGGCCTCAAGAGATCCACCTGCCTCTACCGCCCATGTGCTGAGATTAAAGGCATGATTGAGCCCCCAGCTCAATCAGGTAACTTTATACTTGAAATGTGCTTAATTTTCTGCCTATTTCCTTAACAAATAAAATACCTGGGGAGATGGCTCAGTGGTTAAGAGCACTAGCCGTTTGGGGTTTGATTCCCAGCACCCACATGGTAGCTAACCACAGTCTATAGCTCCAGTTCCAGCTCTGACGCCGTTCTGACCTCCAAGAGCATTCATTACATGACATGCATGCACTTACATACATGCAGGCAATACTCATATACATAAAATTAAAAACTAACTGAACCCTAACTATAGTATCTATTAAACTTCCTCAAATATCTCCCAATCCCTAATTTGGCATTATAACTATTTCATAAAGTATTTCTGTAAAACT